TTTCTAGAATACAGTGAAGTTTTCTCTTGAAGATGTCCACGGTTGTTCCGGCAATATTTCTTATGCTTGCTGGGAGGGTGTTGAACAACCGCGGACCTCTGATGTTTATACAGTGTTCTCTGATTGTGCCTATGGCACCTCTGCTCTTCACTGGATCTATTCTGCATTTTCTTCCATATCGTTCACTCCAGTATGTTATTTTACTGTGTAGATTTAGGACCTGTATTTTCCACGAAGGGGGAAGTGAGTACTGAGCAGTACTCAAGACGGGACAACACAAGTGACTTGAAGAGTACAGCCATTGTGATGGGATCCCTGGATTTGAAAGTTCTCGTAATCCATCCGATCATTTTTCTGGCTGATGCAATATTTGCTTGGTTATGCTCCCTAAACGTTAGGTCGTCAGACATCATTATTCCCAAATCCTATACATGCTGTTTTCCTACTATGGGCACATTTGATTGTGTTTTGTACCTTGTATCATGTTTAAGGTCCTCATTTTTACCTTTCCTGAGTACCCGGAGTTTATTACTGTTAAACATCAAGTTATTTTATGCTGCCCCGTCGAAAAGTATATTAATATCTTCTTGTAGTTTTTCAATGTCTCCACTGAACCCTGTCTTGCCTCACTACTCTGAATTATATGTTCCCAATTTTCCACGTGGCAATTTTCCTACACTTTGCAAACCTTTTTATGTTGTGTTACCGTTCACTGTGTCACTGTTCACTACAGACCGTTCACTGTGTCACTGTTCACTACAGACCAAGTATACCGAGATACAAATCTGTAGAGATGGGCCTCGTGGCCCAAGGCTCCCCACGTACTCGCCTAATTGTGCTTGCGGGGGTTGAGCTCTGGCTCTTTGGCCCCGCTTCTCAACCGTCAATCAACAAGTGTACAGGTTCTTGAGCCTACTGGGCTCTATCATATCTACACTTGAAACTGTGTATGGAGTCAGCCTCCACTACATCACTTCCTAATGCATTCCATTTGTCAACCACTCTTGACACTAAAAAAGTGGACTGGTGCTGGTGTTTATTCTCTGTTTAACTGAAAGTTGTAGAGTCATTCACTGTATCTTTATGCCTGTTATGTTACCCTTCACTATTCACTGTATCACTGCTCACTATAGTCCAAGTATACCGAGATACAAATATGTTTAATTAATTAAATAATTTAACTAATTAATGCAACAGGAACAGTGGTCCCAAAGCTGCACACAAAAATAACCCCACATGAGACCAGGAGGCATGGCAGGATGTGCAGAATACCCCCGTTGAAGAGCAGAGGTGCAACAGGTACTCTGAGAGAGAACTATCAACATCAGAGGCCCGAGACTGTTCAACACGCTTCCACTACACATAAGGGGCATAACTGGCCGAACCCTCACAGTGTTTAAGAGAGAACTGGATAAACACCTCCAAAGGATACCTGATCAACCAGGCTGTGATTCGTACGTCAGGCTGCGAGCAGCCGCGTCCAACAGCCTGGTTGACCAGTCCAGCAACGAGGAGGCCTGGTCGATGACCGGGCCGCTAAGTCCCGGAAGCACCTCAAGGTAACCTTCTCTATTCTCTCAAAATTAATCAGACCCATAATACTAGAGGAATTACATAATAGAATTCAAATAATGAAAAGATAAATTCGCTAACAAATCAGTCTGCGTGTAAGTTTACAGGCCAGATGCCTGGGGCTAGCCTCTCAAAACTCTGCAGGGTGACGGGTGGGTGTACTGGAACAGTCACAGTCGAGCCTGGCCCACAGGCGGGCTCGGGGAGAATAACAACTCGTGAAACCCACTTCAGGTATGCTCCAGGTATGAGTCGGCCCGAGGTGTTGATGGAGTCTGTGGACGGGAAATGTTCTGGACCAAGTTACTAGTTTTATCATGTGTTCACTTTAGGCAAATATTTACATGTTTTGATATTTATATTCCGGAGCTTCCATAACACCCATATAATGTATGGCAATGTGGAACCTGTGGAAATGTATAATCCACCTCCCTTCTTATCCACTTATGTTTTCGGCCACATTATCTGCATATCGGGTTGCTTCTAATACCTCTACAATTTATACCATAGTGATTAGGTAATTACAAAAGAGAAGATCTTCCTTCACTAAACCCGCGCTGACCTGGAGTCCAAGTTGGCGTCTTAGCACCCCTCGGACACCTTGATGAAGTGGGGCAGGTGTAGTGTTTCACTACCTGCCTTGTCAAGTGGCACGGTGCGCGGGTGTACGGTGCGCGGGTGTACGGTGCGCGGGTGTACGGTGCGCGGGATGGCTCTTTCTCCGTCCTGAGTGCCTGCGTTATGGGTGTTTTGGGGTTCTTTGTAGTTTACACTAAAGTAGTTCGAAAATCTGGCTCCGGATCTAACCAATGAAAGGTTCTGCGTGTCCTACTGCCTCACCCCCGGTGGGCCAGTGTGGGTGTTTGTGAGGGTGTGGCCCACCATGTCCTGCTGGACACAGTGGGCCAGTGTGGGTGTTTGTGAGGGTGTGGCCCACCATGTCCTGCTGGACACAGTGGGCCAGTGTGGGTGTTTGTGAGGGTGTGGCCCACCATGTCCTGCTGGACACAGTGGGCCAGTGTGGGTGTTTGTGAGGGTGTGGCCCACCATGTCCTGCTGGACACAGTGGGCCAGTGTGGGTGTTTGTGAGGGTGTGGCCCACCATGTCCTGCTGGACACAGTGGGCCAGTGTGGGTGTCTGTGAGGGTGTGGCCCACCATGTCCTGCTGGACACAGTGGGCCAGTGTGGGTGTTTGTGAGGGTGTGGCCCACCATGTCCTGCTGGACACAGTGGGCCAGTGTGGGTGTCTGTGAGGGTGTGGCCCAGTGTGCCATGCCACACACGGCACACCGTGTGTGGCATGGCACACGCCCGGTGTGCCAGTGAGGTTATGGCTCCGCGTGGCACCTCTTCCTAGGAAGTGCCTTGCATCATGGTGTTCCGTGAACACCAGCCGCACGCACACGCACTCCTCGCCGCCCCACCATGTGCGCGGGGCCACTCGCGCACGCAACCATCCACGTGATTTATACCTCAGTTGTCTGAGGTGACGCTTGTCCAGGTTAGTTATCTTCATCTTGAGGTTATCTTGAGATGATTTCGGGGCTTAGCGTCCCCGCGGCTCAGTCCTCGACCAGGCCTCCTTTTTTTTTTACATAGCTCCAGGAAGCAGCCCGTAGCAGCTGTCTAACTCCCAGGTACTATTTACTGCTAGGTGAACAGAAGCATCAGGATGAAAGAAACTGCCCATTTGTTTCCGCCTCTACCGGGGATCGAACCCGGAACCTCAGGACTACGAAACCCAAGCACTGTCCACTACGCTGTCAGGCCCCATGACAGTTCTTGTTGTATCTGATGCCTTATAATTGAACTATTTTGCCGTTCGAATACTTTGTGGGCTCTGGGCCCTTAAATATGTGGATGGAGGTGGCTCCCACACCTTCTTCTAGGGCATTCCAACTGTTGCCCAACCGTATAGGTATTCCCTTACATTTCTTAGACTCTCTTCCTACGTGTCCTACTTTCCTCTCAATTTACAGAGACTATGCGTCTCTATTTTGTCAGTTCGTATTATGTATGTAGTGATCACGTCCCCTTTATTTGTTCTTCTCTAGAGCTGTCTGATTGCCTAAACCTTTCCTCATACCTTAACCTTTGTACCAACGTTGTTGCAAACATTTGTACGATTTTATGCTTCACAAGGTGGGGGAATTCCATGCCGGTGCCGCGTATTCAAGTATTGGAATATCGTCTACATACTCACTACATACTCACATAGACATCAACCAGGAGGCTTGATCAGAGACCGGGCCGCGGGGACCTTGACCCACGAAGTGAACGCAACGCAAGGTAAGGTATGTCTGGTGTGAGGCTGAGGAAAATGATCTGAGTAAGGTCGGTAGGAGATCGACGTGTCTTCTACTTGGGGAGTAGAACCAGAACCCCATCAACCAGGACGGCACCTTGGGGGACTGAACTCTCCATCCGGATTTTAATTGACGATTACACTCTGTTTATGTTGTTCGTTAGGACGTTAACGATCCATCTTCCTACTTTGTCAGTACTTCCTTTCGTGTGCAGTAGCACCACGGTCACACACTTGACGAAAGTGTTCGCGAGATCTGCGTGTTGGCGTTTTGTCTGTCTTCCATGGCATCCTATGGCAGGTCAAATGTTGTTTGCTGTTGGTGTTGTGTTGTGGTGTTGTCTTGTGTTGTGGTGTTGTCTAGTGTTGTGGTGTTGTCTAGTGTTGTGGTGTTGTCTAGTGTTGTGGTGTTGTCTTGTGTTGTGGTGTTGTCTTGTGTTGTGGTGTTGTCTTGTGTTGTGGTGTTGTCTTGTGTTGTGGTGTTGTCTTGTGTTGTGGTGTTGTCTTGTGTTGTGGTGTTGTCTTGTGTTGTGGTGTTGTCTTGTGTTGTGGTGTTGTCTTGTGTTGTGGTGTTGTCTTGTGTTGTGGTGTTGTCTTGTGTTGTGGTGTTGTCTTGTGTTGTGGTGTTGTCTTGTGTTGTGGTGTTGTGATGTAATGTTGTCTTGTGTTGTGGTGTTGTCTTGTGTTGTGGTGTTGTGATGTGGTGTTGTCTTGTGTTGTGGTGTTGTCTTGTGTTGTGGTGTTGTGATGTGGTGTTGTCTTGTGTTGTGGTGTTGTCTTGTGTTGTGGTGTTGTCTTGTGTTGTGGTGTTGTCTTGTGTTGTGGTGTTGTCTTGTGTTGTGGTGTTCCATCATGTTGCGGTATGATGCACGACGTATTCCCCTTGGCACGGTCCCAAGGTGGTAATAATTAGCAGCTTTAGACGGCTGTCAGAGAAAGTTAGTATAATTAGAGTGCACAGCTCCCAATAATTAGGGTGGAGCGTGACCCCCCCCCCCTCCCCTCCCACACAGGTGTGGGGGGGGGGTATGGGGGTCACCCTCAACCACCTACCATGACGTGTTGGCAGCGCCCCCCAGCTGGGCCAGCCCGCCCGTTTATTGCTTTACTTCACCCGTTCACTCATTCACTCCCGCTGCCCTCGACGGAGGGGCGCCTTGCCACTCCCGCTGCCCTCGACGGAGGGGCGCCTTGCCACTCCCGCTGCCCTCGACGGAGGGGCGCCTTGCCACTCCCGCTGCCCTCGACGGAGGGGCGCCTTGCCACTCCCGCTGCCCTCGACGGAGGGGCGCCTTGCCACTCCCGCTGCTGCCCTCGACGGAGGCGCGCCTTGCCACTCCCGCTGCCCTCGACGGAGGCGCGCCTTGCCACTCCCGCTGCCCTCGACGGAGGCGCGCCTTGCCACTCCCGCTGCCCTCGACGGAGGGGCGCCTTGCCACTCCCGCTGCCCTCGACGGAGGCGCGCCTTGCCACTCCCGCTGCCCTCGACGGAGGCGCGCCTTGCCACTCCCGCTGCCCTCGACGGAGGCGCGCCTTGCCACTCCCGCTGCCCTCGACGGAGGCGCGCCTTGCCACTCCCGCTGCCCTCGACGGAGGCGCGCCTTGCCACTCCCGCTGCCCTCGACGGAGGGGCGCCTTGCCACTCCCGCTGCCCTCGACGGAGGCGCGCCTTGCCACTCCCGCTGCCCTCGACGGAGGCGCGCCTTGCCACTCCCGCTGCCCTCGACGGAGGGGCGCCTTGCCACACAATTCTGATGTAATTAATTTAGATAAACGCGCCGGCAAATTATATATACAGAATGTGTTGCCTGTAGATATAGCGGTATATAACAGCTAAATGTAAGAGCCGGTGGGATAAGCCTTAAACACGCGGCGCCAGAGGCAACCCCGTGCCTTCCACCTCCCTCCCCCCCAGGCCCATCCCCCCACACGTGTCACCCCACCCCCCCATGTTTCATACTCCCCCCCCTCCCACTACGTGTGTCCCCCCCCCTCCCACTACGTGTGTCCCCCCCCCTCCCACTACGTGTGTCCCCCCCCTCCCACTACGTGTGTCCCCCCCTCCCACTACGTGTGTCCCCCCCTCCCACCACGTGTGTCCTCCCACCACGTGTGTCCTCCCACCACGTGTCCCCCCTCCCACCACGTGTCCCCTCCCCTCCCACCACGTGTGTCCCCCCCCTCCCACCACGTGTGTCCCCCCCCTCCCACCACGTGTGTCCCCTCCCCTCCCACCACGTGTGTCCCCTCCCCTCCCACCACGTGTGTCCCCTCCCCTCCCACTACGTGTGTCCCCTCCCCTCCCACTACGTGTGTCCCCTCCCCTCCCACTACGTGTGTCCCCTCCCCTCCCACCACGTGTGTCCCCTCCCCTCCCACCACGTGTGTCCCCTCCCCTCCCACCACGTGTCCCCTCCCCTCCCACCACGTGTGTCCCCCCCCTCCCACCACGTGTGTCCCCCCCCTCCCACCACGTGTCCCCCCCTCCCCTCCCACCACGTGTGTCCCCTCCCCTCCCACCACGTGTGTCCCCTCCCCTCCCACCACGTGTGTCCCCTCCCCTCCCACCACGTGTGTCCCCTCCCCTCCCACCACGTGTGTCCCCTCCCCTCCCACCACGTGTGTCCCCTCCCCTCCCACCACGTGTGTCCCCTCCCTCCCACCACGTGTGTCCCCTCCCCTCCCACCACGTGTGTCCCCTCCCCTCCCACCACGTGTGTCCCCTCCCCTCCCACCACGTGTGTCCCCCCCCTCCCACCACGTGTGTCCCCCCCCCCTCCCACCACGTGTGTCCCCCCCCCTCCCACCACGTGTCCCCCCCTCCCACCACGTGTGTCCCCCCCCTCCCACCACGTGTCCCCCCCCTCCCACCACGTGTGTCCCCCCCCTCCCACCACGTGTGTTCCCCCCCCCCTCCCACCACGTGTGTCCCCCCCCCCCCCCACCACGTGTGTCCCCCCCCCTCCCACCACGTGTGTCCCCCCCCTCCCACCACGTGTCCCCCCCTCCCACCACGTGTGTCCCCCCCTCCCACCACGTGTGTCCCCCCCTCCCACCACGTGTGTCCCCCCTCCCACCACGTGTGGCGTGTCCTGACCCCCTCAGTAAACACCGCCGTAAACATCTTTATTGACATCCTATAAAAGTCTGGTCAAGGGCATCACGTCTCCCAGCATGTATGGTGTGTACACGTGTACACGTCTCCTGTGAGCGGCATTATTGTGTGCACCTCACTCGTCCTGTGAGTGGATTAGTCGTCCTGTGTAGTCCTTTTTTGTAGCGCCAAGAAAGGATTAAAGAAGACACAAAAAGAGACTTAATCACGTGTCAGCAGGTAGTTTTCCATGTGCCGTGTAGGACTGTGGTCATCCGCCCTAAGCTGTGTAGAGGGTTAGTGGAGCCAGGAGACTGGTGAGGGCTGCCAGCCAGGCATCCCTCCAGGGGCCTGCTGTAGGCATCCCTCCAGGGGCCTGCTGTAGGCATCCCTCCAGGGGCCTGCTGTAGGCATCCCTCCAGGGGCCTGCTGTAGGCATCCCTCCAGGGGCCTGCTGTAGGCATCCCTCCAGGGGCCTGCTGTAGGCATCCCTCCAGGGGCCTGCTGTAGGCATCCCTCCAGGGGCCTGCTGTAGGCATCCCTCCAGGGGCCTGCTGTAGGCATCCCTCCAGGGGCCTGCTGTAGGCATCCCTCCAGGGGCCTGCTGTAGGCATCCCTCCAGGGGCCTGCTGTAGGCATCCCTCCAGGGGCCTGCTGTAGGCATCCCTCCAGGGGCCTGCTGTAGGCATCCCTCCAGGGGCCTGCTGTAGGCATCCCTCCAGGGCCTGCTGTAGGCATCCCTCCAGGGGCCTGCTGTAGGCATCCCTCCAGGGGCCTGCTGTAGGCATCCCTCCAGGGGCCTGCTGTAGGCATCCCTCCAGGGGCCTGCTGTAGGCATCCCTCCAGGGGCCTGCTGTAGGCATCCCTCCAGGGGCCTGCTGTAGGCATCCCTCCAGGGGCCTGCTGTAGGCATCCCTCCAGGGGCCTGCTGTAGGCCTGTGTAAACCCGTCAACTTGGGACATCTTAACACATGTTGATACGATGTCTTATGGCCGTTAAGAAACGCAGTAACAGAAGTAACAAACTATATACAAGTAGAGGCCCAGGAGAGGCGAGACCCGGAATTAATACAGCCAGATATAATACAAGAAGAGATCAAGGTAATGGAAGATTACATGCAGCAGACACTGGTGGAACAAAAAGACAAAGGCATATCAGTCTTGTGTTGAGGCGATACGCACAGACATACTGGTAATACAAGTATTGGAAGGAGTTACCATCATCCCAGGGGAAGCTTTCTAGAGACAACTGGACAGCTTTGTGCTGGAGGAACAGCAAGTGCTAGGAAGAGCTATGAGTGCCAGCAAGTGCTAGGAAGAGCTATGAGTGCCAGGTGGTGCTAGGAAGAGCTATGAGTGGCAGGTGGTGCTAGGAAGAGCTATGAGTGGCAGGTGGTGCTAGGAAGAGCTATGAGTGGCAGGTGGTGCTAGGAAGAGCTATGAGTGACAGGTGGTGCTACCTACCTACCTTGAGGCTACCTTGAGGTGCTTCCGGGGCTTAGTGTCCCCGCGGCCCGGTCGTCGACCAGGCCTCCTGGTTGCTGGACTGATCAACCAGGCTGTTAGACGCGGCTGCTCGCAGCCTGACGTATGAGTCACAGCCTGGTTGATCAGGTATCCTTTGGAGGTGCTTATCCAGTTCTCTCTTGAACACTGTGAGGGGTTTGCCAGTTATGCCCCTTATGTGTAGTGGAAGCGTGTTGAACAGTCTCGGGCCTCTGATGTTGATAGAGTTCTCTCTCAGAGTACCAGTTGCACCTCTGCTTTTCAACGGGGGTATTCTGCACATCCTGCCATGTCTTCTGGTCTCATGTTCTGGTCTCATGTGCTAGGAAGAGCTATGAGTGGCAGGTGGTGCTAGGAAGAGCTATGAGTGCCAGGTAGTGCTAGGAAGAGCTATGAGTGCCAGGTGGTGCTAGGAAGAGCTATGAGTGGCAGGAAGTGCTAGGAAGAGCTATGAGTGGCAGGTAGTGCTAGGAAGAGCTATGAGTGCCAGGTAGTGCTAGGAAGAGCTATGAGTGCCAGGTGGTGCTAGGAAGAGCTATGAGTGCCAGGTGGTGCTAGGAAGAGCTATGAGTGCCAGGTGGTGCTAGGAAGAGCTATGAGTGCCAGGTAGTGCTAGGAAGAGCTATGAGTGGCAGGTAGTGCTAGGAAGAGCTATGAGTGCCAGGTAGTGCTAGGAAGAGCTATGAGTGCCAGGTGGTGCTAGGAAGAGCTATGAGTGCCAGGTGGTGCTAGGAAGAGCTATGAGTGCCAGGTGGTGCTAGGAAGAGCTATGAGTGGCAGGAAGTGCTAGGAAGAGCTATGAGTGGCAGGTAGTGCTAGGAAGAGCTATGAGTGACAGGAAGTGCTAGGAAGAGCTATGAGTGGCAGGTAGTGCTAGGAAGAGCTATGAGTGACAGCAAGTGCTAGGAAGTGTTAGGAAGACAAAGCCCCCTGACCAGGCGACCACCTGTAAAGGCTGTGGGAGTAGAAAGATTCTCGAAATTGTCAACAAGTAAACCTCCTTTCCTGGTTAAGTTGTTGTTAGTGTTGGCAGAAGCGGTTGTGCACAGTGAGGTGGTGGGGGCGGCGGCGACAGAGGGAGGCAGGTAAGCAAGTGGATTAACCTGCTCATGTGTCAGTGAGGTAGACGTGTCGCCGCCCCCACCTCCCAGACCCCGCTCGCCCTCATCACATACTGATGTCTACACCGTAACGGGAACCCAGCTAAATGAAGAAAGAAAGATTAAGACGAAAAAAGAGAAAGAAGGGAGAAGAAAAAGAGTTAGCGGATATAGTTTGGACCCTCACACCGGAGCCCCACTGAGACCAGGTACTGACGCTGACAAATATACGAACATCTTTTAGAACCCTCAATCAGGACTCCTTAAAGGCAGTCTCCACAACATTTGGTATACTGGAGCATGCAGCACCGGCCTGGAGGGGGCGGGGGGGGGGGGCGCACCTTGTGAAGCACAATACTAACATTGTGTACGAAGTTTGCAACACGATTAGTGCCAGAGTTAAACTGACCAAACTAATTGAAGTAAATCTCACAATCTTGGAGGATAGAAGATACAGAAGGGATATGATACTTCCCCTTCACTGAAGGGGGAGAAGGGGTGATTTGTACTATACATACAAATCTATACTATACTATACAAATCACTTGTGCTGTCCCGTCTTGAGTACTCCTCGGTACTTACTTCCCCCCTTCACAACAGGAGAGATTGCTGAAATAGAGGGGGGTACAGAGAACATATACGGCACGCATAGACGCGATAAAGCATCTAAATTATTGGGATCGTCTCAAAGCTCTCCAAATGTACTCGCTAAAAGGGAGATGAGAGATATCAAATTATATTCACGAGAAAAATACAGGTTCCAAATCTACACAGTAAAATAACAACGTACTAGAGTGAACGATATGGAAGAAAATGCAGAATAGAACCAGTGAAGAGCAGAGGTGCCATAGCCACAATCAGAGAACACTGTATAAACATCAGAGGTCCGCGGTTGTTCAACATCCTCCCAGCGAGCATAAGAAATATTGCCGGAACAACCGTGGACATCTTCAAGAGGAAACTAGATAGTGTTCTCCAAGAAGTGCCGGACGCACCGGGCTGTGGTGGGTACGTGGCCCGGCGGGCCGCTTCAAGCAACAGCCTAGTGGATCAAACTCTCACAAGTCAAGCCTGGCCTCGGGCCGGGCTTGGGGAGTAGAACTCCCAAACCCCCATCAACCAGAATCAACCAGATGACAACATGCAAGATACGAGAGGGACTAGACAAGGTGGACAAGGACAACCTGTTCATATTGAGATAAACTAGGACAAGGGGAGGCAAGTATCAGCTACAAATACAAATGCGTCTACGAATACAAATGTTACATTTAATACAAATAAAATACAAAGGTTACACAGTAGTGCTACCCGGTGCGGGAAGGGGACAAGTGGAGCGCGCTGAAGGAACTTGTGAAAGTCACCTTCATCCACAATTTGAAGGCCACATTTGAGAAAGAATTTGACAAGCGTCAGAATAGGTACATTGTAAGGTACAAGAAGGGGGGTAGAAGGCGGGGCCGAGAGCTGTAGACCGGCCTGGCGGTAGTCAGGGATAGGTAAGTGGTGAGAGGGCGGTGATACACAAGTGGGTGGAGTTACAGCAGTGGTGGGTGGTGGGTCCCGCGGCGCGCACTGGACGGCACCATTCAGGGGCTGGTGCCCGGCTCTTTGTTGTTTTGTGAATGAATGACGTGAAGGAGCGGCTCGGGATTGTTGGCAGATAAAGTTACGCCCTCACACTGCCGCCGCCGCCGCCTCCTGCCGCTTCCTGCCGCCGCCTCCTGCCGCTTCCTGCCGCCGCCGCCTCCTGCCGCCTCCTGCCGCCGCCGCCAGGGTACCACGGATCTCTGTGTTCATTCATATATTCATTCATATATTTGCGCCCCTCCATTATGTACTAATGAAAAGTGCTGAGACTGGAGGCAGGCGAGGCACCAGTCACTTGCTGGGTTTCAAAGCACATTGTGTGGTGTTTGCTGTTATTGGCGGTTTTATGACAAATTGTTAGTCATTACAGTACATATATAGAACTTCTTATTGACGTTAATGTTTGTGTGGCGTCCATCTTGGAACACCACCTTCACCGAGTACCATTTGTTTGATTTGGCGACCCCAAGGTCAGCTGAAGATGGGTGGTGAAGCTACTCTAACCAAAGGATCGGTGACAGACTGGGTATGTTCATTGTTTAGGGATAAGCACATTGGTGGTGAAGGGCAAGGCACTGGTCCACTCCAGGTTGGCTCTGCCCTTGGCCAGTTGATCCATGATTAGTGGACCGAACCCACAGCTCTTGTGTGTGTACGGATGACCCCAGTGTTGCCACACCTCAAATATCGGGAATTATTAAGTGCTGAATTACCGAGCCAGTCTCATCATCATCATCATCATCATCATCATCATCATCATCATCACCAGCATTAATACCAGCATGGCTGGGTCTGACATGCATGTCGTACACAAGGTTCTGAATGGTTCCTTGCACAAATTTCTAAAAGCAGTTCTTATGTTGGCCAACCTGACACAAGCCGTTGATAGTGTTACTTGATGTGGGCTTCAAGGGACAAGTTCCATGAGAAGGGGAGAGGGGGAGGGGGGGAGGGGGGGGGATAAAATATAATACAGTGGAAGATATGGAAGGTAATGAACAAGACAACCAGTGAGGAGTAGAGGTGCCACAGGCACAGTCAGAGCACACTGTCTCAACATCAGGGGTCCACACCTGTTGGGGTCCACCACCCAGGGGTCCACACCTGTTGGGGTCCACCACCCAGGGGTCCACACCTGTTGGGGTCCACCACCCAGGGGTCCACACCTGTTGGGGTCCACCACCCAGGGGTCCACACCTGTTGGGGTCCACCACCCAGGGGTCCACACCTGTTCAACACCCTCCCAGCGACCATTACAAATATTGCATATCAATACAAATTGATGGATGTATTCAAGACGAACTTAGATAAGTTCTTGCAAGAAGTGCTGGACCAACCAGGCTGTAGTGGATATGTGGGCCTGCGGGTCGCTCCAAACAGCAGCAGCCTGTTGGACCAAGTTATCACAAGTCGAGCCTGGCCTCACGCCGCGCTGGGGAAGTCGAACTCTCGAAACCATCTCCAGGTATGGTCCAGGTGTCCATCTGTGTCGCCTCGTGAATCGCCCTGTCCAGGTGTTGTTTCCTTGTCTCTCCTGTTTATCCCTCGTGTATTTTGTGGGTGATCATCATGTCTCCCCTCGTGTTGCCTTCCTTCCTTGCAGTGAGGGGAGGGGGTAATTTATTTAGTCTCCTTGTAGCTCAAACACAGAGGGAGGAGAGTGAGGACGGGGAAGGTATGGAAGGGGGAGTTGTGGTAAGGAGAGTGGGCAAGGGGAAGGCATGAGACGGTGAAAAAGAGCTCTGTATAAGAACGGAACATTATTGGAGAAGTGAGGCTGGGGGGAGGTGGGAGGCGGGGGGAGGTATGAGGTAGGGGGAGGCAAGGGTGGTGTGAGGGAGGGATAAGGAGTGAGGCAGTGGGAGGTATGAGGGAGGGGGAGGAGTGAGGGCTGGGGAGGGAGGCAGCGACAGGTAGATTATGATGATGATGATGATGGAGGCACTCACGACTGCTGCCACCAGATTTGACTATATATATAACCCGCCAGGCCCACCACCCCCTCCCTCCTCTCTCACTTGCCCCCCCCTGTCCTCCCTCACCCCCTGTCCTCCCTCACCCCCCTCCTCTCTCACTTGTCCCCTGTCCTCCCTCACCCCTTCCCCTCCCACTGTCAATTGTCTCATGTCAGAAGATCTTACCTTCAAAGAACACAATAAAGTAGCAGTCACAACTGCAAGAAAAATGACAGGTTGGATAACAAGAACTTTTCACACTAGAGATCCTATACCGATGATGATACTTTTCAAGACGCTAGTGCTCTCTAGAGTGGAGTACTGCTGCACAATGACAGCCCCTTTCAAAGCTGGAGAAATTGCTGACCTGGAGAGAGTGCAGAGATCCTTTACTGCAAGAATCCACTCGGTAAAACATCTAAACTATTGGGACCGACTAAAGAGCCTAAATCTGTATTCTCTTGAGCGCTGGCGGGAGAGATGCATAATAATTTACACATGGAACATAGTAGAGGGGCTGGTCCCAAACCTGCACACAGAAATAACAGCACACGAGACCAGAAGACATGGCAGGATGTGCAGAATACCCCCGTTGAAGAGCAGAGGTGCAACAGGTACTAAGAGAGAACTATCAACATCAGAGGCCCGAGACTGTTCAACACGCTTCCACTACACATAAGGGGCATAACTGGCTGACCCCTCAGTGTTCAAGAGATAACTGGATAAACAGCTCCAAAGGATACTTGATCAACTAGGCTGTGATTCATACGTCAGGCTGCGAGCGGCCGCGTCCAACAACCTGGTTGACCAGACGACCAACCAGGAGGCCTGATAGGAGTTGATCACAGAACCTCCACGAGGTAGCCACGAGTTCGGTAGCTTTACACGGGTGTCTAATAGCTTGGTAGATCAGACTGTCAAGCAGGAAAACTGTTCAGAAGCCGGGCACTGGGGACCTAGCTCCTGGGGACCAGCTCTAGGTAACGTGAAGGATAGGTTGGGAGGAGAGTATGAGGCTGAGATGGACGCACAGGAGGACGGGTGGTGATGGATGACCGGGGCTCGGGGGGGAGGACGGTGGGGCAGGTTTTTACTGGAGATGGCGGCAGTGATGCCGCCTCCACCACACTAGTTTTTCCTCTCGGACCGCCCAGGTAATGTCGATAATTGATTAGACACTAATTTACTCGCAATCTAACTTGTATCTCGCAGTATGATGTCGATAGGCCAGTGTGGTGGTCCAGCCAGAGGTGTGTAGGTGTGTGCGCTCGCTCGCGCGTGTTTACATTCGCCTATTTGTGCCTGCAGGGTCGAGCTCTAACTCTTGGACCCGCTTTTCTAGCAGTTGGTTGGCAATGATTCCCGGCCTATTTCTCTATCATATCTGCTTTGAAAGTTATGCATGGAGTTAGCCTCTATAACCTGCTCCTTTAGGTCATTCCATTTACTCACTACACTTACGCTAAAGGAAAACTTTCTAACATCTCTATGACATCTGAGTCTCCAGCTTTCATCCGTGCCCCCTTGTTCTGTTGATATTCATTGTAAACACTTCCTCTATTTCCACTTTGTCACTCACGCCCCCCCTCCCATGACCCTCCTTTCTAACGTGGTCAAGTCTAGTTCCTTCAGTCTGTCTTCGTACCTCATCCCTCGCGGCTCTGGGACGAGTCTCGTTGCAAACTTCTGCACCTTTTAGAGCTTCCTAATGTGTGTGTTTTTTAGATAGGGCTCCACGATGGGGCTCTAAGACAAGGCCTCACATAGGCGGTAAACAGTAATCTAAAAGCCTCCTTATTCAAGTTTCTGAAGGCTGTTCCTACTTTCCCCAGAGTACAGTATAAGGCTGTTTTAGGGGCGGTTTTAGATTTAGCTACTAAGAGCGAAATGTCTATGTAGCACGGGCTATGGTGAGCCCGTAATAGGAGTATGCGGCTGACGTTATTCTGTTTATATGAGCCTCTGGAGTTAGGTTTGGTGTTATGTCCACTCCCAGGTCAGTCACTAGTTTATCTCTAGTGTGTGTGTGTGTGTGTGTGTGTGTGTGTGTGTGTGTGTGTGTGTGTGTGTGTGTGTGTGTGTGTGTGTGTGTGTGTGTGTGTTCGTGCGAGTGCTGGGCGTGTAGGAGTGTGAGGGTGGGTAAGGGGCCAGCGTGTAGGAGTGTGAGGGTGGGGAAGGAGTCAGCGTGGAGGAGTGTGAGGGTGGGGAAGGGACCAGCGTGTAGGAGTGTGAGGGTGGGGAAGGGACCAGCGTGGAGGAGTGTGAGGGTGGGGAAGGGACCAGCGTGTAGGAGTGTGAGGGTGGGGAAGGGACCAGCGTGGAGGAGTGTGAGGGTGGGGAAGGGACCAGCGTGTAGGAGTGTGAGGGTGGGGAAGGGACCAGCGTGGAGGAGTGTGAGGGTGGGGAAGGAGCCAGCGTGTAGGAGTGTGAGGGTGGGGAAGGGACCAGCGTGTAGGAGTGTGAGGGTGGGGAAGGAGCCAGCGTGTAGGAGTGTGAGGGTGGGGAAGGGACCAGCGTGTAGGAGTGTGAGGGTGGGGAAGGAGCCAGCGTGTAGGAGTGTGAGGGTGGGGAAGGGCGTGTAGGAGTGTGAGGGTGGGGAAGGGACCAGCGTGGAGGAGTGTGAGGGTGGGGAAGGGACCAGCGTGTAGGAGTGTGAGGGTGGGGAAGGGACCAGCGTGGAGGAGTGTGAGGGTGGGGAAGGAGCCAGCGTGTAGGAGTGTGAGGTGGGGAAGGGACCAGCGTGTAGGAGTGTGAGGGTGGGGAAGGAGCCAGCGTGTAGGAGTGTGAGGGTGGGGAAGGGACCAGCGTGTAGGAGTGTGAGGGTGGGGAAGGGACCAGCGTGGAGGAGTGTGAGGGTGGGGAAGGGACCAGCGTGGAGGAGTGTGAGGGTGGGGAAGGAGCCAGCGTGTAGGAGTGTGAGGGTGGGGAAGGGACCAGCGTGTAGGAGTGTGAGGGTGGGGAAGGGACCAGCGTGGAGGAGTGTGAGGGTGGGGAAGGGACCAGCGTGGAGGAGTGTGAGGGTGGGGAAGGAGCCAGCGTGTAGGAGTGTGAGGGTGGGGAAGGGACCAGCGTGTAGGAGTGTGAGGGTGGGGAAGGGACCAGCGTGGAGGAGTGTGAGGGTGGGGAAGGGACTAGCGTGGAGGAGTGTGAGGGTGGGGAAGGAGCCAGCGTGGAGGAGTGTGAGGGTGGGGAAGGGGCCAGCGTGGAGGAGTGTGAGGGTGGGGAAGGAGCCAGCGTGGAGGAGTGTGAGGGTGGGGAAGGGACCAGCGTGGAGGAGTGTGAGGGTGGG